AGTGAGGTTGTGTGATTGAATATGGTTAATGTTATTTCATATTTGATTTGCTATTTGGCATGCAAAATTTATTGACAGCTTCATAAGGTTACATATATAAAATAATTATACTGAAAAAAATTTAAAAAAATAAATGGGTTACCCCATAACCCGGTCAGCCCAAACGGGCTGCCCCGTAGCCCATTTAATATGGGCTAAATGGGTTACTACCGGGTTATGGGTTAGCCCATGTCCATTTATGAATAAATGGGCGGGCTATGGGCTAACCTTCGGGTTAGCCCAGCCCGCCCATTGCTCAGCCCTAATTGAGAGAGAGAGACGTGGCATTAAATTAACTGATGAAAGCAAGTATTGCAGGAAGAGGCAAGAAGGCTGGTAAGTAATCTGGCAAAGGTTGGGTCAAGTGCTGTGCAACTGGGGCAACTGGTGAATATATGTGTGACCAACGCTCTAGCAAGGGCAATGATAGGGCGGCGCGTGTTCAACGACGTTAGCGGCGGGAGCGATCCCAAGGCGGAGGAGTTCAAGTCAATGGTAATGGAAATGATGGAGTTGGGCGGAGTTTTCAACATCAGTGACTTCGTCCCGGCGTTGGAGTGGCTCGACGTCCAAGGAGTTCATGCCAAGATGAAGAAGCTGCACAAGAGGTTCGACGCATTCCTGACCAACATCGTCGAGGAACACAAGGCTTCTGAGAGGCACAACCACAAGGACTTGTTGAGCACGTTATTGTCGCTTAAGGAAGTTCAGAATGACGAAGGAGCTACTCTCACCAACGTTGAGATCAAGGCCCTACTTATGGTACCATACTCTTGTCTGTAAAATGAACTTCTTTTTTTCTTGGCCTTTGGTTTTACTGATGATACGACAATTATATTGACTGGTGCAGAACTTGTTTGCCGGTGGGACAGACACGACAACAAGCACAACGGAGTGGGCCATGTCAGAGCTGATTAAGCACCCGAGCATGCTGGCTCGAGTCCGGCAAGAGCTAGACTCAGTTGTGGGTAGAAACAGACTAGTGAACGAGTCAGATCTACAGAATCTGCCATACTTGCAGGCTTTCATAAAGGAGACCTTTCGTCTCCACCCTCCAACTCCTCTTTCTCTGCCGAGGATCTCAGATAGCGACTGTGAGATCTTGGGTTACCACATCCCCAAGGGCGCGACTCTGCTGGTGGATATCTGGGCCATAGGTCGTGACCCTAACGAGTGGTCCGAGCCGTCGGTGTTCAAGCCTGAGAGGTTCCTTCCCGGCGGCGAGAAGGCTGACGTCGATATTAAGGGGTATGACTTTGAGGCCATCCCGTTCGGTGCTGGTCGTAGGATCTGTCCTGGCGTGAGTCTGGGCCTCAGCATGGTTCAGCTTCTAACAGCAACTATGGCCCATGCTTTTGAGTGGGACCTGGAGGATGAGGTTAACCCGGAAAAGCTTAACATGGAAGAGGTTTATGGGATAACCCTCCAACGAAAGGTCCCCTTGGCAGTAAACCCAAGACCCAGGCTCGCCCCACATGCTTACTCCTAGTTTGTCCGCCTTCATCTCATATCTCATGTTTTGAGCTGAAGACTTTAGACTGTCTGCTGATAGCCAAGTTAAATAAATCGTGGATAAATATATGAGTGTGTCAGATATATTTCTTCAATGTGCTTTCTGATATGCATGCAAATATTTTTTGTGTCCCGTTGCCCCATGAGATGTAGAATTTCTAAATGAAAAACCGGCAGTGTGGACTCATAAGTTCAACTAATGCGTCAAAAACATCTCGGTTCAACAATGCCCACACCCTTCAGGGAGAGGAGGTTGTGGATTCTGTATCCGGATTTTGCAATCCCTCCTTTTCTTTTTTTAACCCTTAGATTAATATTTTAATGGTTCAGATTTAACTATTTTTAAAATGATTATAAAAATATTAAATTATAAAAATAAATAAATTACAAATTATAAACTATATTAAAACTCAGTTCTAATGGTTTGCAAATGTATTAAATGTTTTTTAAATTTTTTTTATAAATAGTTTATAAAAACTTAAAATCTGAAACATTAAAATATGTTAATCTAATAGTTAGAAAAAAAAAAGAGAATAGAAGAGGATGAAAAAAAAGAGAGGAGAGATTTCCAATCGGTGAGGCGGGTGTGCGGATTTCCCCGTATGAGGGGAGGGTTTAAATAGTTAAATTGTCCAAACCCCCCCCCCCAAAAAAAAAACCAAACTTCGGCTAATCTCCCCTCTGTTTTTATGAGAAGACAGTGGAAGGAAAACCTTCGTTTTTGTGAGTACGTGGATATCTTGTTATTATTGAAGACAACCAAAATATTGTTGAGCAATAAATATGGATATTTCTGTTAACACTTAACAGGGTCTCCAGTTGGTGACTGAAAAATAGCAGAATCGTAGTTTCAGATTAACTCTCAAGACAAACGTTTGGGGTGACGTTGATGTTAGAAGCCATGAGTTTGAGGTAATGTGATTTGGGTGTTGGGCTTTACAGAGCCCAGCTTCCTCAAATAGTGGGGCGCGGACAATTGCTCTCCGGGTCACAAGCTTTTAACACGCAGGGTCGGAGAAGGGATGATGGATGAGACTTGAGAGGGACAGCGATGCTTATGTGCAGATAAGATAAGAGCCGTATCCATTTGTTGTCCCCCCTCCTTAAAAGTTAAAAGCAATACTCTTTCCGTTTTTAACGACCCATTTAACTAATTTAATTAGATTAAAAAAGTTAGGTCAATTAGTTAATTATAAAAAATATAATATATTTTTCTTAAAATGTCATAATTATCTCTCTTAATATCTCTTTTTCTCTTTTATTTGATTATAGTTGAAGGAATATTCATAGGGATAATTTAAAAAAAATTGATAAATATGAAAAATGAATCTTATATTTAGGATCAAAATCAACTCAATAATTAGATCATGTATTAAGGACCGGAGGAGTAATTACAATTCTTTCCAAATAAATACTCCTTTTTTTTTGCCATCCCAAATAATAGTCCTTTTAATTTTTGCTATGATGACCTGGTGGCACGTGAAATGCATAGCATGCATTTGTTTTGTCATGTTTTGTTTCTTAGCAAGGCAATGTTGACGTTACATCACGCTTCACCCAAAACAGAAACCATGTCACATCTTTGGTTTTTTTTTTGTATTAAAAAAATTAGCTTGTTGGCTTTGTATTTTGCACAACGCAATAAATACTTTAATCCATATCATCATAATGGTGTTGTGGTTGCCAATAGCAACATATTCATAAAAATATTATTATCCATCAATTTTATATTTTGAGTAAATATGCCAGCTCACCTTGATGAATGGTGGCCATGTATTTTCGTGTTAAATCAAGCGTTTTGAGGGACCGACAGAGTGAGTTCTTCTTCTTTTTTTTTTTTTGGGGCTTTTTGCCACTTTTTTTTAATTGCAGTTAATTATTTATTTCTTGGCCGGCAACTGAAGTTATTTATCCGGTTAGAGATCAATATCTTTTTTTTTTTTTACCACAATTAGAGATCAATATCGACTTCCCGTTATTAAAGGAGGAGGAGGAGGAGGAGAGATCAATATCGACTGTTATGAATGAAATATTATAATTACTTAATTATAAAATTTTATGAAAAACAACTCAGGAGTTAATTACATCATATCTTTTAAAAAAAAATTCATTTATGGCCGCAAAAATTTACTTTTGACACAATTAACTCGCGTAAAACTGAATTTTTTCCCAAGTAAAATTTTGAATTTTTTGGAAAGCTTATGAATGAAGTAAACGGAACATGAAAAAGAGGAGGAGGAGAATTCAAATGACGTGGAGATAAGTTTTAGCACATCAACGAAACAAGTAAATGCAAGACGAAATGAGACGCAAGCAATTAGGATGGGATGGCCGCGTGCCAATCCTAATAACTTGTTAATCCCCAAGCCCACCGAATATGCCAAAAAAGGGAAAAAGAAAAAAGAAAATCAAACTTATTAAATCACGTTTGACGTGCAAGGTCGATAATCATTGTTTTTTTTTTTAAAAATCGTATTAAAATCTTACATTGAACGAAGAGGCTAAAGACTGATTTGTTCTAGTTATTGTTAGTGTTTGACAAATAAATATGTTTTATTCAATACTGGTCACTTAATACAATTATACATAAACAGTTTAATTATTAAATAATTTCATAACAAATTAGTACCCATATGCCATTTGTTATAGTAGAATTTATCATTATATAATTATATGCTTGTCGCCTGTTGTGAAATTTTTAATAATTATATTATTTACTGCACAGTAACTTTTTAAAAAACATTAGTGATTGCATGGGGTGTACGCTAAGCCCGTGCTTTAATTGATCGTAATAAATTTTGATGTTATGATTAAAATATTGTTTTTTTCATTACCAAATTGAAATACTGTTTAAATCTCATTTGTTACGCTATTCATTTTTATGTATTCAGTGTTAATTAGTGCCCCCCCAGAAATTTTGAGAAACGAGTTTTATTGTTCTCCGTAAATAACATTTTGTAAATTTTTCTAGATTATAAATAAAATTTGTTCTTGTGGGTGCATTAAACTTGTTCCACTTGAATTAGAGGATTTATATTTGGATTATAGTGTATCCAGCATCTCGAAATATTTTTTCAGGTGTAATGACTATCTCAAAATATTTTATGATGTATTTAATATCCTGAAATATTTTTTTAGATACTCCTGGTACTGTGAATTATTTTTTGTACATTCAGTATGTCAAAGTATTTTTTTAAATTTATTTAACACTCAAAAAGATTTTTTAGTGTATCTAACATTAAATTAAAAAAAATATTTCAGAACGAATTACTTAAAAAATAAATCAGAATATTAGATGTATTATAAAATATTATAGAATGCTAAATATATTGAGAAAATATTTTAGATTGGCCTTTTATATTTTATAATTAAATAAAAAAACAAAGCTCAGGCCACAAAAATAATAAATAAATAAATAAAACCCGATGAAGAAACTTCCACAGACCGAAGTCGGTCGCCCGTGGAATGACCCTTGCCTTCTCAATTCACCGCACCAGGAAGACCACCCAAACCTTCCATCATCCATCGCCCAAGTTGCAATTTCAGCTAATCGAATCTTGTAAACTCTCTGATCTTCTGAATCTATCATGTTTTGAACCTCTCCAACCAAACCTCACCCAACCATGCTCGTTCTGTTTCTCAGAACCCTTTTCTTCTCAATACACCAATCTGATCCCAGACTTTGATATCAGTAAATAAAAAGCGAGGAAGAATAAGGGATAGTAATTATTCCACGCGAAATTATGTCAAGGAATCTCCTTCAGGCCATCCAAACCTCACTTTCTCTCTCTCCAACTGCGAGCCCTGCGTCGAATACCGGCTTTCGAGGTCTAAGATCTATCTTCTCTTTGTCTAATTGCAATGGTTTCTGGTACGACGCCTTCCTTGTCGTTCCGTCGGTTTTGTTTGTCCTGTATCTGGCGGTCCACGCGAAGAAGAACCTGAAGAAACTTTATAATGGAGGATCTTATGTAATGAAATCATGTTATGCCCTGCTTTGGGTTGCTACTCTTTTAAACCTCGCTTGGTGTTTATTTCAGGTATGCTTAGTAGCTTGTTGTGTTCCTTGGTGAGGCTAATTGCATGATAAACAGAAGAAAATAGTGGGGAGACCGGATTTCTGTCCTTCCCAGTTTTTTGACCTTTTCTTTGGGCGCGAGAACTTGAGGAGATGCAATATATTATGCCATTTAGAGCGAGTATCGAGATGTGAAGTTATGCAAAACAAACTAAAGTGATAAAGATTTTGGGTTTTGGATTGTAAAATAAAGGTTGCTGAATAGACGTTTTTAATGCTTGCTGAGACAAATATGATCCTCGTTGCTGACACTTTGAAATTGAGATAATACTTTACGCGTATATATGCCAGATGGACGTTTAGATTTGAATCTGAAAGGTCCGAGGTGGCTGAGTGAAGGCTGCCTAGTGTCTGTAGGTTGGGGTTTTTAGTCCCATGACTATTTATTGAATAAGCTTTTGCAACTATATGTTTGATGCAGTTTCTAAGGAACTCATGAGTATGCATTTGACCATCGCTGGAATTTCCTCCAGTGGATTTGCACATGTTATTAAAACTTTCCTTTTGTCTTCATCATTCACTTACATGTAATGTTATTTTTGTTATTTCAAGGAAGGAAGAGTTCACGTTATTTAAGTGGAGATAGTAAAAGTGTGGCATGATTTTCAACTTTGTTTCATCGCAAATATGGGAAAATACCCACTCGTTGCCCCTTCAGTTGGTTTCAGGCTTTGCATGTGTGCTGTTATTGACTGTAAAATAAAATTCCAACTTTGACTTCTTTCTTGTTTAAGCAGGCATGGCAGTGCTCTCCGGGAAAGGACGTTGCATGGAATTTCCTTTCATTATTGACGGCATCTGGAATTCTTTGTTTGGAGATAAGCATGATGGCTTTTCTTCTCAAGGATAATTATATGAATGGGATTGAAACTCTGGCGCACACTTTCCTTGTATCTGGAATCATTGTCGTTGTGGATACTCTTCTTAAGGTGATATTTCATTTGCATTAGTTGATGCACATGCATGCATTACACATTTTACACCTGTTCTGTGAGGTCTTAATGTACCATAATTTTTGGCCCATACTGAAATATATTAACTTTTTTCTACTTCATATTATCATGGAACTACTTTGTGTATATAGACATCCCTTGTAATCCCCCCTCTTAAAATCCGTGAGATATATATATATATATATATACACACACACCATGAGCACGTTGAATCTTTGCAACATATGTTTTTGGAAGCTGTAATTTTAATGACTTTCAGAACCTTTCTGTGTGGATTACCAAATGATTTGCAAACTCATTTATTTGTCTATGGTTCCAACTGTTGCCCCATTTCTGTCCTACGTAGTACTAACATGGTAACAGAGGTTTCAGACCCAAAAACAAAAACAGTAAGGGGTACTTCAAACATGTTTTATCCAATTTATCCTCAAAGCATCTCTTGAACTGCTTAAAATTGAGGCCCCATAGATAAATAGCCTTAACCAAGGGGACCAAAAAAGTGTTAAAGTGTTAATATTTTTCAATTTAAGGCTTGTAGTTGCAACATGTGGATTGGATTATCACTTCTGTGCTTCCATCACTATTATTGATGTCGCATTTATTAATGGGATTCACTCGTTAACTTAATTTTGGTCCTGCCATATACCAGGCGCATAAATAAAAAGCACATTTTTATGTACTAAAATCTGAGTTACGTTCTATTCACTTTTAAATCTTGAAACAAGTGGTATGGTGGAAGCTTCATTTTAATTTTTCAGTTCATTTGGAAAGAGATTTCCAAGTCATTATAAAGCATCAAGTTGAATGTAAATGTGGGGAAGAGGGCTAGGCATGCCAAGAATTTAGTAGTGAAATTTTATAATGACTACTTATCTTTGTGAACATGATTTTGCGCAAATGGGGAAGGGTGTTGGAAGAAGTTTATTTGTGTCGAGGATATCCTATTATTGTTGTACGACTTGATTTAGGGATTTGACCTTTTTATATTGATGTTGGTTGTTTTGTTTCTCTTGTATTTTGATTATTGCTATAGTAAAATTTCATTATTCCTCCTATGAATTTCCCTTTTTCCTCCGCCTCTCAATTTTTTTGGTTTGTTATGATTACTTTTCACAGCATTTTCCTTGCATGTGACTTGTGTTGTTTCTGTCCAGGTAGCTGCTGATTATTCTCTTTGATGTCAATTCTTCTGTACATGCTTGTCAATGTTGCCATTTTCCTCTCTGCTCCTCATGTCGAACATTTTGTTCCTTGATATGCCTTGTCCTAATTGAGTACTTTCATATCAGGCAATATATGTTTTTGGATTTGGAGTCCCTTTGTTCAATCGTGATGTTGGAAGCTTACATAAGATCAAGTGGGGTTTGTTGATAATTCACAAATTGTTGCTTGCCGCAGCATATGGCTTCATATTGTTCGTACATTTCTCTAAATGGAGAGAGAAGCTGCCACGTAAGAGTGTGTGTGTGTGTGGTTCTGCTGTCACCTTTGTTCTTATTTGATCCATTTCTGATCAAAGCAGGTCCTCTCCGTGCATGCATTCGGAGATATAGTGACACGAAAGAATGTTACTGTTTATAGGATCTACATATCATAATCATACTCACCCATTCTTTTTCATCTTTCTGCTTCTCTGAAACCCCTCTGTACGAAGGGGGCCACAAGTGTGTTCTGATGTACAAATTTCTTTTACCTTTTGCAGCCAGACCAGCATTCTACAACTATGTTGTTGCAATGTTTGTCTTTAGTTCAATTGCCCTGTTTGCCTGTGGGCTAGCAGTGGTTGGGGCTGGCTTGGGCAGTTGGTAATCTCGCATCCCTTCTCTGCCATTAAAAGTAGCATTCAATAGTTTATTTTATGTTACATGAAATTTGCCCTGAATGGATGGATCTCCTTTCCTGCAGGATATATGATCTCACTGTACTTTGTTATCACTCTCTATATCTGCCATTTCTGTATGTAACTTTTCTTGAAGATTTTTTCCAGGTAATCATTTCTTGCCATATGCTACAGAAGTTACATTTATATTTACTATTAACAAACACTAACAAAAGGGGTTTCAAAACGAAGACAAATCAATTCAATTGACTGAAATTATAAAAGGAGCGAAAATTGGTTTCTCTTGTATTGAAACCAATTTTTTTTTCCGGTGATAAAGAGGGGCTAACTGATTTAATCGACATAAAATTGACATTTGGGGGAGCTAAACAAAAATACTTATATCACGTGAGAAAAAAATTGATTTTTGAAAGTCAAGAAATCTGAAATGACTTCGATCATCAAAAATAAATGAATAAAGGAGCAAATCGAACTTTGCTGAATCAGAATTAAAAAGAGAAAGAGTCTTCTTCTATGCAAAACTGATTAAAGCAGTCTGGTTTAATTTTGAAGAAGGTCCTAAACAAACTCGTTGTACCCATGAACAACTCTATTCACAATTGTACTGCGTTCTTGTGGTGGAATTGCCTAGTGTCATGTGGTGGACTCCTGAGTGCAGTCCATCAAAAACATTGTAGTAGGCATTGCCCACTCAGGGATGCCTCTTATTATAATAAAGCTTGAGCAGCGTATGATGTGTTATTTCTTGGTTCTTGCTGCAGGAGGAAGACTTCCTTTTGGATAATGCTTATTACTCCGAGATGAGAGATGCTGGATTCTTTGACGCTGACTGGGAGTAATTCCTCGACAACCTGTAAATGGACAGCCATCTTTTTATCTGTGTAGTGTGTAAATATTTTTAGATTCCTCTTGCCTTTTATGGCAGGACAAACACCCCCCCCCGGGGGGGGGGGGGGGGAATTTAACAGAACAAGTGTGCCTGAACGAAGCTTTAATTTGAATGAACCCATTTACTCTTTTAAGCGCTTTATTCCCCTGTATGTTGCATGATCTGCACTGTAAAATAAGCTTCCATAGACTATAACAAAGCAAAGCTGGGAGGATGAATTTGCATGGAGAATAAGGAAAGGGAGAAATACTTGCAAACAACTTGGTGCGGTGAATTCATAAATCCCTATCAAATTGTGGGTTTTCATGAGCCCCTTCAATAAGTCGGCTTTTCGCACTTGTTCCATATATGGATATGTCCGTGTTGTCAATTAACAAATGCCTAGGCTTCACCCTAACTCGTCTCGCGATCTCAGCAGCCAATCCGTTCAAACCATCCATACCATAGAGGACCACATGCGGTGGCCTAAAAGACACATCGCAATTTATTCGATCGTCCACGACGGCTCAATCCTGCCATCTTCATGCCTGGTAACAGAGTAGGCGGGGTGATTGAAGCTCTGACATAGATACTTTGTAGGGTGGTTCTGGTTTGCTTTTCTGAGAATTGGGTTTGAAGGCCAACATGTGGTTTGCTTCTTTGACAACCCTTTGACCCCCTCCAGTGTTTTTGAGTATGTCGCCTCCCACATCCATTGCACTTGTCCGCTTGAGCTCGGTCTCATAAACACAGCACCCAAATCCATGTTTCACATTTGCATGGCATCATCGTGTGGGGCTCATCTAATGTATTTAACGTTGCCCGCCTCTTCTGTTAACGCAGGTCGACATTGGGCTGTTTTAAAACATCAGGGGGATTAACAATTGCGCCTCTCCAAATATTTCGGGCTAAAATTTCACCTCAACCCTCGTGTTCTACGATAACCTAATAATTGTCTTTTATTAATTCTTCCGTTACAATTCGAGATTTCGAACACTGGACTGCTGCCCAAATCCCATCCTATGGCTATATGTCATTAATTTTTATTAACGCAGATACTGTATATTCAGATTCGCGTATGAAATTGGCTAATGTGAAATAATAATTTGGATATTCGCTCTAAGCACTGAAACACACTATGGGCAAATCAAAATAAGAAAAACAAAGGCTAGATACAATGAAGGGATTAATCTTAAAAAAGAAATTACAATGAATAAATTGGAGAAAGAATAAAAGATTACAGTTTGGCTTCTCTTCTCTAATGCCATTGGCACGTGAAAAAGAATTATTCAAATAATATAACAAATTTCAACCATTGAATGCAAATACAGAAGAAAGCATAAGGACATACAAATCTGGAATCCTATTATCTTTAGGGAGACTGTGAGTACAGGTGTGGTGCAAGCCTGGGCTTTGGCTGGGCCAACAGAGGGACCTTCCGTTGGAGGGTAAGCCCATAAGCCTCGTCCATGTTAAGCTTTTGTGGGCTGAGACCATCGGCAAGCTCCCAATCAAAAGCCTGGGCCAGAGTTGCAGTCAGAAGCTGGACCACTCGAAGCCCAAGGTTCATGCCAGCACATATCCTCCGTCCACCACCGAATGGAATCACCTCAAAGTCATTGCCCCGAACGTCCACACCAGCCTTCTCCCCGCCCGGCAAGAACCTCTCAGGCCTGAACACCAACGGGTCGGACCACTCCTTAGGGTCACGGGCTATGGCCCAAACATTGAGCAGGAGAGTGGCCCCCTTAGGGATGTGGTATCCGAATATCTCACAGCTCTCAGCCGCGACTCTTGGCAGTGAGAGAGGAGTGGGTGGATGAAGACGGAATGTTTCTTTTATAAAGGCTTGTAAATATGGCAGGTTGGGCAAGTCCAACTCATTCACCAGCCGGTCCTGGCCCACTATGGAGTCCAATTCCTGTTGGACTCGGGCCAACATGGTCGGGTTTCGGATCAACTCGGCTATGGCCCACTCCGTGGTGCTTGATGACGTGTCAGTACCGGCCGCAAACATGTTCTGCAAGCAAATAGTCATCAACCATGCATGTTAGACCAAGCAAATGCCAATTGATCAAAGTGGACTCAGTAGGAAAATTAATTACCAGAAGTAATGCTTTGATCTCAACGTCAGTGAGCTTGGTTCCCTCATCATCTTGAGCCTCCTTAAGAGAAAGCAATGTGCTCAACAAGTGCCTGTGGTCCTCGTTCTGAGAAACCTTGTGTTCTTCGATGATGTTCGTCAAGAAGGCATCGAATCTTTTGTGCAGTTTCTTCATCTTGCCTTGAACTCCTTGAAGGTCCAGCCATTCCAACGCCGGAATGAAGTCGCCGATGTTGAAAACTCCGGCCAGCACCATCATCTCAACCACCATCGACTTGAACTCATCCGCCCTGGGATCACATCCGGCAGCACCGTCGTCGAACACGCGCCGTCCTAAAACTGCCCTTGCGAGTGCGTTGGTGGTGCACACATTCAGCAACTGCCCTAAGTTCACCACTTGTGAGGCGGCACTCGCGAGATTACGCGTCAGTCTTCCCACCTCTTCCTGCAATTTGCATTCACTGAATGAGTTAAATTCATATTGATTAAAATGCAGGCGAAGTTGCAAACTCTGGTTTGATGTCACTCGAGGATCATCGATTCTACTATATTGCAATTTTTTTGCCTGAAATATACATTTCTTCATTATGTAATTTTTGCACACTTCTGTGATGTACGTAACGATTAAAAAAAAAAAGCATACGAACTTGTTTTCCTCCCTTACGTACTCAGTGTCGCATGGAGGGAAAGAAACTACTAACCTGACGAAGATGTCTGAAATCTTCCAAGGCCTTGCCGGAGAAGAGATGAACAGCGGAGATTTTTCGGAGCTTGCGCCACCGTGGGCCGTAGGGAGCGAACACGAGGTCTTGATAGTTATAACCCATGTACTTGGCTCCGGCGTTGGGAGGTCGGCTGGAGAAGTTGGCGTCGTGAACCTTCAAGATCTGCTCGGCGACAGAAGCCGAAGCCACCACGACGACGTCGACGAAGCCAAGGCGGAGGTGCATGAGAGGACCATAACTCCGAGCCAAATCGGCCAAAGCATGGTGAGGCACAGGTCCCAAGTGAGGCATGTTCCCGACGATGGGCCAGGGTTTAGGACCGGGAGGAAGAGAAAGAGAAGGCCGCCGGAAGAGGTTGAGAAGGCGATAAAGAAGGGAAGCTAAAACCAGAGAAGCCAAACCCAGAAGCCATGGAGAAGTCACAAAAGCCATATTCGAAAAAGACGAATTAATGACAGAGTGTATTATAATAATGGTTGAGCAGGATATGAATCGAAGAAGGAGAGAACAGTAAAAGAATGATGTGTGAGGAGGAGGAAGAAGGAGCTATTTATAGGGTTTTGACATGGAGAAATAGTGAAGAGTGGTGGGTGGTTGAATTGAACTAGAAGACAAGGTCAGTGAGACGACTTTTGTGGCTTTCGCGGGCTGCTGAAACGCAGAAAAGTTCAATACAGGGATGAAGCTTCTGTATTATTAATTGCGCTTCCAGAATGGGATGGCAAGTCAAAATAAGATATATGGAGGAATTTAACTTTAACGGTATTTTTTCAGCACTGGTATCTTCTTGGAAATACCCACTTATATATATTGTTAAATTGACAAATTTAATTCTTTTTTTGATCATTTTTCAGAATATATATATAAATATATATATATATATAGATGTCAAACACGATTATGCTTTTTACGTAATTTTTCAGTTGAGAAAGGGTCAAAGATATAATTAGCGAGACTATCTATTTTAGGAAAAAATTAAAAATCATAATTAATCTTACTCTGGCCAGGAAAAAGTCATAATTGGTCTTTATATCAATATTTAATTAATACTAATCTGATTTCTGTAAGCGATGACTGAGAAATTAAATGATGATACATATTCTTTTATCAAATGAGAAATCAGTAAAAAAAAAAATAAGAAAACTTCATATTAATATTGGTAAGGATGGCAAAATTATCAGCGTAGTGGTAATTAAATAAATCAAATTCTTACGCACAAGATAGAGTATTCGATTGAATTGATCTTTAGGAAGGGCCAATAAAGGTAAGATTTTGAATAATAGGAATAGCAAATTAATTAATAGAAGATAATCGATGAAAAGGATCTTTTGAACTATAGTTTGGTCAATTTATTCAAACATATGTAAGTATATCCTATTGACCTGATAATAATCTGGAACTATATATTAATAAATTTATTGCGCTGACGATTGAGGAGCGAAAAACCTACGCAACGCAAGCCGACAATGTCGATATATAAACAGAGAAAGGAAAACGTACAGACTACAGATGAGGGAATAATAGATGATTGCATCAAAACGCTGTCACGAACAAGCCACACAAGCCATTTGTTTAATCGGGTTCACTCTTAACATTTTAATAATTAGAGAGTTTCAGCTGTGATGGAGACTTTCACCAAGTTTGAAACTGTCGTTTTCCCAAAATTAAACGTGTTGAATAGTAAAAGAACGACCAACATATATATATATATATATATATAGCAGAGGACGTACGTTCATCAGCGATGATCGACGTCGAAATCATTGATGACGCGCATATATATATTCTTAATATCCCAAAACAAGAATTTATGTGAAGTTTAGAATGAGAGCAACAAAGTGACATCGAGTTCGGAGGCACAATTGTAGCCAAAAATATTCCTACCTGGAACTTATAAAACTCATGCCGTTGACAACTATAAGCATAATGCTTGATCTTCCATATCTCCAAAAACACTGTCTACACACACACGCACTCTCTCCAGTTCCAAGCGACGTAGGACACCAAAACTGCTTAGCAGTTTTAGATCCGTCCAGTAGGAATCTCCAGTGACTTATACTCGTCCTGTCTTAAATATAAGATCCTTGTACTCACTCTTCCGGTCCTAAATATAAAACATTTATACTAGTAGCAACTAAACCGCAACTATTATCATCTACACCTTTTTATCCTAAATATAGGAGCTAGCTAGTTATTGAGGGATCATTTTTAAGTAGCTCCTTTACACACACAGAGAGAGAGAGAGAGAGAGAGAGAATCAAATAATGGAGTATCAATCTGTATTCAAGCCAGGCACACAATGCAACCAACACCTCAGATGGGTCAATTATAAGAGATGCTGGACAGCCAAACCGCGCATGATCTTCACAACACATGCATGAGCCTGTTGAGTGGCATAATTCCTTTTAATTTCCACAATTTTTCTGTATACTTCGTGCAGAGAGTGGTCGCATGAGGTTTGCGAAGCTTTTTGGGGGGAAAATTGGATGCCAACTAATTAAATTAGTATGCTGTCCACAAATGATATAACACTACCTCCGGTCCTAATTATAAGAGCCAGTTGACTAATTTGAGGAGATTAAGAAAGTAAGTTGAGTTAGTTATTTGTCCTAAATAGGTGTTGTCTTTCCTAAAATATCCTTGCTAATCAAGTGTATTAACTAGAACTATCATTGTTAGAAGTGTTACTTTGGAAAAAAAATATATAAATATGAGAGATAAAGTGGATTGGAGTCTTATATTTAGGACCAAAATAAAGTCAAGGGTCTTATATTAAGGACCGGAAGTAGTGTGTGTGTGTGTGTGTGTGTGTGTGTGTATATGAGAAGATGTAGGCCAAGTGATAGATGATAGGCTTGATGCTTCACTTAAACTGTCCCAATACAACACATGCGTGAACGATCATCACAAACTGAACCAATTAGCGGAATGGCCTCTCATGGCTGTTAGCCATATTCCTCCAAATCAGAAACATCCTAGTCCTCTTTCGATCAATCAATATAACATATATATGTAGCAGCCATGAGATCTACGTACTGACTCTTACCGCGGATTTGGGTCGGAACGAAGCCAGGGGCTCATGCCAAATTATTGGTTGATAAATTTCTGTTAACCAGCACATTGGATTACATGCCCAACCGGATCCGCCACCTTTTTTTTTTTGGAGCCATGGAGTCACAATGGGACGAAACACGTAATCATATCAATGGTAAATCTTTGGGCCAAAAAGAATCAGTGACGTGGAACACAGCAAATTGGGTTAAAAATTAAAATAATAATTTGGATAAAATCTCTGAGCACTGAAATAAGCTTCGGGCCGCAAGACAAAATAGAAGATAATAGCAAAACGAAAGTACGAAACAACGCTAGTTGAGGACCATGAAGAGACGAACAATACTATGAATATGTGAGAGAAAAGAGAGAGATTAAGCCAGGACCATTAGGCTTCTCTTCTCTAGTGCCCATTGGCAAATGAACAATAAATTATACTCTTCCGGTCCTTAATATAAGACCCATTTAATTAATTTAATTAGATTAAGGAAGTTAGGTAAGTTAGTTAATTATAAGAAAAGTGACACATTTTTTCTAAAACACCATAATCATCTTTCTTAATACTCCCTCTCCCTCTTCTACTTGATTATGGTTGAAGGAGTATCTATAGACGTAATTTAGAGAAAATTGATAAATATAAGAAATGAGTCTTATATTTAGAATCAAAACCAACTCAAAAATTGGATTTTATATTAAAAACCGAAGGAGTGCAATATAACAATACAGCAAATTCTAACAAGTGAATGGAAATACACAGCAAATCATATCCACAAGCATATTTGGAAGTCAGATGGCATATCTCAGTAGATTGTCAGTACGGGTGTGGCGGAAGCCTGGGCTTTGGTCGAACCATCGAAGGAACTTTCCACTGGAGGGTAAGCCCATAAACCTCTTCCATGTTAAGCTTTTCTAGGCTGAGCCGATTTTCCAGCTCCCAATCAAAAGCCTGGGCCAGAGTTGCAATCAGAAGCTGGACCACTCGAAGCCCAAGGTTCATGCCAGCACATATCCTCCGCCCACCATCAAATGGGATCACCTTAAAGACATTGCCCCTAACGTCCACACCACCCATCTCCCCGCCCGGCAAGAACCTCTCGGGCCTGAACACCAACGGGTCTGACCATTCCTTCGGGTCATGGGCTATGGCCCAAACACTGAGCAGGAGGATGGCCCCCTTAGGTATGTGGTATCCGAATATCTCACAGCTCTCAACCGCGACTCTGGGCAATGAGAGAGGAGTGGGTGGATGAAGACGGAATGTTTCTTTTATAAAGGCCTGTAAATATGGCAGATTGGGCAAGTCCAACTCATTCACCAGCCGGTCCCGGCCCACTACGGAGTCCAATTCCTGTTGGACTCGGGCCAACATGGTCGGGTTTCGGATCAGCTCGGCTATGGCCCACTCTGTGGTGCGTGATGACGTGTCAGTACTGGCGGCAAACATGTTCTGCCAGCAAATAGTCATCAACGATGCATGTTAGGACAAGCAAATACTGATTGATCAAAGCGGACTAAGTAGGAAAATCAATTACTAGAAGTAATGCTTTGATCTTGAGCCTCCTTGAGAGAAAGCAAGGTGCTCAACAAGTGCATGTGGTTCTCTTTTCTTAGAAACCTTATGTTCTTCGATGATGTTTGTCAAGAAGGCATCGAGCCTTTTGTGCAGTTTCTTCAACTTGCCCTGAACTCCTTGAAGGTCAAGCCATTCCAACGCCGAGATGAAGTCTCCTATGTTGAAAACTTCGGCCAGCACCATCATCTCCACCACCATCGACTTTAACTCATCGGCCCTGGGATCACATCCGGCGGCACCGTCGTGGAACACGCGCCTTCCTAAAACTGCCCTAGTGCCCTTGCCAGTGCGTTGGTGGCGCACACATTCAGCAACCGTCCTAAGTTCACAACTTGTGAGGCGGCACTCGCGAGATTACGCGCCAGTCTTCCCACCTCTTCCTGCAATTTGCATTCATTGAATTAATTAAATTAAAGTCGTATCTTGATTAACAACATGATGCCAGGTTGCAAAGTATAGCTAGGTGTTAATTGTCGAGATGCAATCCCATGCTTTATTAGTTGGGAACCAGTTTTAGTGCTCATTATTTTGATGAGTACTCCAAGCTCATTAAGTCTTGATTGTATATATCTAATTTGAACATATTTAAAATTTTTAATTAATTATTTTAAATAAAAAACTATTTTTCAAAAAAAGATAGTTAAGAGATTATCTTTATTTTAGATTTCATTCATATTAAAATAATTATTTTAAATAAATAAAAAAATCAAATATTGACTATTCAAATGATATATGAGTGGTTTAGATCTGATAAGCTTAATATGTTTATCAAAGCGATAAGTACCGAAACTGGTTCTATTAGGTACCTTCATATCCTTATAAAAAAGGTCAGGTTGTTTTAATCGAAGAAG